AAAAAAAAAAAAAAAAAAAAAAAAAAAAAAAAAAAAAAAAATAACGAGAGAGAATAAAATTAAGGGTTAATAACAAGTAAATAAAATAAATAAATAAATAACCGTTTGGCGACGTCCATCTTCCCTTATCAACTTGATATTGATCCATGGACATCAATAAATCCTAATTAATAATTTGTAGGATTTTGGTCCACTTGATTTAAAAATTATTATAAAAAATAATAAAAAAAAATGGTCCAATTTGATCAGCTACCCAAATTTTTGGACTAAAATATACTTGGTAAATTTATTATAGTAAGGTAAGTTGTGCATCTACAAGCATTGGGTCCAATTTTGCTTATGTAGCATATAAATAAAACTCAAGGTCTTAGATGACATAGATAAAACTACGTAAAATTATTAAATTTTACTCAAATTCAAAGAGACTAGATATTTATTTGAGTCTAAAACAGACTTAAGGTAGACCAAGTTTCTTTTTCTTGCTAGACCAAGTTTTTTTTTCTTGCTGCCACATCAGCACGACCCAGTCTACTTACACTTGCATTGGAGAATATATATTTCTTAGACTTAGTCTATTTCTTAGATGACATAATTTTTTTTTATTGAACTCAAAGTATTACAGATGCTCTAAAAGACATAACTAATTTTTGTCCATCGAAAAATTTCACAGGTATACGTAGACATGGCCACAGGTCACCAGGCCCGGACCCAGCCAGATCAGACCCGTTGACCAGGGGTCTGTGCCCGTGCCCGGATTCAAATCGAGCCGGTTAAGTGTCATATGTATGTAACATATGACCCGGTCAGGCCGGCCCTGGAAATCAACGGCAATTATTTTAATTTTTTTTCTTGTATCCGGGTCAGGCCCGTAACTATGTACAGGCCGGTTTAGGGTCGGTGATTTTAAACCCGGCGACCCACCGAGTCCGGCCCAGAATTGGGCCATGTCTAGGTATGTATCCTTCGTCTTACCATGATCATAAAACGCTCTCGTTCAATTTGACGATCAAAAAGAACCCACCA